TATCTACTGCTAATATATTTTTTAAAATATAAATCGTATATCCGTTTAAGCGCATAAACAAACGCCCAAATAAAATATATCTAAAATCTAACCGTATAATATATAGTAAAGTTAAAAAGTTGGTAGGACGTTTAGTGTGTTCCATAAACTTTTAATAGATATAAAATATACTGGAAAACCATATTTGATTTATTAGGTGTATACTTCTGACCCAACTATACTCTTTGAATATCCACACATACCCTAATTTAAAACGGAATAACAGAAGAAGCTTATGTACTTGACGTATAGTACCGAATGGAAAATATATTTTTTTACTTATATTAAAAAGGCTATATACAAAATTATTCCTTTGTATTATATATATGGATATGTTTAATTTATCCGTATATTTTTTTTTATTTATTAAACATAAGCATTTTTAACTAGAATTCCATTATTTATTTATGTCTATAGCTTTGATTTTATTATAAATAAGTTACATGAAGTTTTATTATATCTTATTTAATATAAATAAATATATATATATTTAATGCATCAGTATATTATTTAATGATTTGATTTACTATTGTATGTATATGGTCTGAAGAACCCAGTAGACATGATCTTCAGTGAGGATATTCTTTTAAAAACAGAACCAGTTCAATAAAAAAAATTATATGTTTATATAATATATCGAAACTTAGATATATAGTTAATTAAAAACAAAATACATTTATAAATACTTTATTCGAATATATTTAAACAGAAAATGGCACTGAGATTTATAGCGGTCTATAATTTATACTATAAGAAAATATACGGAAAGGAAATCGTTTGAGCATTTTTTCAGTTTTTAAAGAATTCAAGGTGACACAAAACACAAAACACAAAACATTCATATAGTCCATTTCTATACGGTCAACAAAACTATATCTAATAAGATAGATACAGATATATCTACACACAAACAAGGTACACAGAAATATTACAGATTCTGTTAAGTAACAAGTCGCAGCGATATACAAAAAGTACAAAAAGTAAGAAAGCTAACAGTTAGTAAGTATTTTATTCCTATGACTACGTACCAGCTATATGGATGGACGGACGGATAGTTTTTTTTTCAGGAATGAGGACAATAATATAGTTAAAATATTGTTCTTTATAAAGTTACTATGAGTGCTGTAATATAGGATAAATATTCCGCAAGCATATAATTGAAAAAAAGTATTAACTCCTAGACATTTATTTCATGGTTATGGCTTAAGTAAAAATACACCTATTACATTTGACGTGACAATGACTATCTGTTTAACATGACCCTTAGAAAATCCTATCATATAAATGACCCCCATAAATTGTGACCATCTTTTATAAATTGTTACTCAACGGAACTTCTACAAGCTTAATCTACCACTATGACCGGCAGTTCTATCTGAATAATGGTTAAGCAGCACTGACATTATGCAAAGCAAACAGAAGGACACCCGTACTTTGATAGTAAGTTGTCAATACTATAAATTCATAAATAAAAACTTTTAAATTGTGAAACAAAAATAAAAATATTTTTCGATCCAATCATGAAATGAAAGTTATAATATAATGTTAAAATATGTAATACAAAAATACACTATTAAGTCAAATCATTTATAATGTAATTAATTTTTCTTTTAAATAAAATAAGAAATAGCATATTTTCCAATCACCTGGTCTGATCAATGTTTAAAAAAAGTTTGCGGTTATTTTTTTTAGATACATATATCACAATGGACTTAGTTCTAAGCTCTAAGCTTTAACTAAGCACAAAATAAAAAGTTTGACGTTGAATTTAGAGAACACTAACCACACGAAACAGACGTGCCTCAAAACAGATGAATCATCATTTCAATATATAATGAGTTCTTATTTTATAACTACAAACATTTCTCTAGTAATGTAGTTCCCATATATAGTAATTCATTTTTTTTTTACATATGACTTTAGAAGAATGCACAATCGAAATTAATTATTTGATGCAAATAAAACTAAAATATTAGTTCTTTGGATAAGGAAAAATATAAGTGTTTACACTTCAACTTTCAGAGCTTAGCGAACAGCAAAACAAAAGAAAAATCGGAAAACAATTGTTTTTTTCTGAAATTTACTCCTCAATATAATTCTCCAATATCTGTTTTTATTGTTCAGAGTTAATATCTTTTTTAGAAAATATTGACATATATAAAATTTTCATCCATTTCTTTATTTTTGATTTGAGAATCTGACGTCTACGGTGATGTCTAATTAAATTTTCATCTAGACTTTGGTTAACAACAATAGTTATTTTAAACTATTCTTGACGTTCACATTTTTGGCAAACTGTATTCTTAATAACAGAAAGACGGACATTTAATAGTAAGCTCTGCTGGTCAATTTTGTCTACCATAAACTTCCATTATAATTGAACTAACAATACCGAACACATATCGTTATTTTATTGGAAACCTGAAGAAAATGGCGTTATACGTAGAAATAATATATAGTATTGATTTGATCAACCTCTACAATATAATAGTTGAGAGAGACACTAATCATCCTTAGAGAACAAATGGGGTCTCCCATTCGGTTAGGTTGTGTTGCAGTACAATGGATCAATTATTTTAATAAACTATTTATTGGAAACACTAATTATAATAATTCCATAACTAAATCTGTTTATTTTGTAAACCAACTTCATTTATAGAAACTATTAACTATATAAACTATTGTACTCTATAATACTTACTTATAGTGCAAGTAAGATGGCTCTTTTCTTTTGTGTTTTGCTCGGTCTTCTACTAACTGCTAACTACTAACTTGCTCGGTATCTCCAGTCTTTCTCCACATTTAATTTTTCACTTCTGTTTTATAGTTTGTGTTTTTATGTGTTTAGACTTCAATGTCTACTATTGTAGTTTTGTTTACATTTGTTTAAGTAGATAAAGAGGTGTTTTGACTGATAACAAACTGAGAAAAGACACCGATAAACGTTCAATATATTTTTGGTCATGTGGAGGACAATTTATTTATTTATAAATTTTTCTACTTTAACTTTTTTGGGCTTTCAAATATTTTTTTATTAATATTGCTTTACCATTTCTTATATGTATTTTATTTTATTTATTATTATTTTTTTTTTTTTTGAGTTTATGAATGACTGCGCTTGATTTGGAAATTTTGTGATGAAATTGATAACATCCTATAAATAAACTGCAAAAAAAAAACGTTCATATTTTGGAATTAATACAGTGAATAGTTTAAATTGTTTCTTAATTTACAAGTTTGTTACACATAAACATATAATGAGTCATGCCATTTATGCTTAATAAAAAACCCCATTCATCACAATCAATAAAACCGATTATCACAGCTAAAAGTATAGGATTTAATGAAAAATACGAATAATATTAAAATATTTGCCGATAATATTATGTTATAATAGATTTGAATAATTTAGTTTCATAACAAATCTGATTTCCATGATTTCCATATTTAATGCAATTATGACAATATTAATCATTTTAAGATTTCTCATCATTTTAAAATCTTAAAAGTTTATTGAACCAAAGCACTGAATTTACTGACCCCATTCTTTAACATGACAAACAAAATGAATCTAACTGACAAACTAAAATTATTCTTTGGAATAAAAAAAATTGTAAATAATTGAGTTAGATATGATGGATACTAGTAGCAACCTCGCTATTTATGAAAACAAACGAAGAAGAGGCAATCACACACTGCCCATCTCTGACTGCCCAATCTTGACTGCGGTAGAGGACGTCCGCATCTTCCGTGGAAGGACCAGGTGACCAACGATATGGGGGCGCTCGGTACTACCCACCGGGGGCGTCAGAAAGCAACTAATCGGGCTGACTGGCGGAGGCTACTCGACGCGGTCAAGGACGACCCACGTCTATAATGGCCAACTAAGTAAGTAAGTAAGCCCAATCTTAACTATTAGAAGGAACAGATTTTTTGAGATGCACTTATTTGACAGTCTATCAGACTACCTATCAATAAAAGTAAAAGATCTAATAAACTCAACTGAACGTATATAGTTTATTTACAACAGAAAGTATTGTGTAAGAAAAAGTATCCACCGTTTTTTATCAATTTTTATCAATAGAGTTGCGCAAGCAGTAACCATTAACCGAATGACAGTTTGAAATCATTTAAAAAGATCAGACCACACAAAGACATCGGGCGTCTTTGGGTAACACAAGAGTTAATGCAAAGAAACACTGCTAGAATGCAACTTAATAGAACCTTATATGAGAGGAATTATTATGAATGATGCAAAATGGATTAAATACGATAATATCCAACGGAAGCAATCATAGTCAAAAACCGATGATTGTTCACAGATGACTTAATTTCTTGAATTGAGGGCAAGGAAAGTTTCGTCAAATGTTGGGTTGTTTGGAAAGGTTGTCTGTTACCAATTGCTCCAGCGTAGAACAACGATCATGTCGATCCATGAGTGCTCACAACTGGACCATTTGAAGAAAACAATCAAGGAAAAGCAACAAGACTTGGCCAATAGAAAAGTATTTGTATTTCATTATGACAAAGTCAGGCCAGACACAGCTTTGATGATTGTAACCCAATTGACAAATATAAGATTGTTTATATTTAAGTACTAATTATTTAAAAAAAATTATTTTTCCAAATGTATCACGAAAAAATTTATTTTTTATATTTTATTTAAATTCAGTATTAAATTTTACTAAGAAATCAAATTTTTCAGGATGGATACTCTATCTATTTTTATTCATCTCTATATAAGAGAGATACTAATTTCATTACGACGCACCTTTTCTCACTTTTTCTTATATTGACGAATTAAAAAATTAATTAAACATACACTACCTGTACTATCTATATAATTGCTGCACATAATTACATCGACCATTTTTGGTGAAATGTTTTTCTGCTAGTGGGAAAAATAGAAGGCTAGATATACTATAAGAAATAAACTATAAACAAAATATTTTTTTTTATGATTTTCTGATTTTATTAATACTTATATCATTATTGATGCATAATCTGTAACGTCTGACGAAGAAATCATTTTTGCCATTACAATTTTTTTCCGAACCGGGAATAAAGCAGTGATATTTTAATAACCCCATCACTAATGTAGCTGCTTCAAAATGATGCCTAATCTTGTTTTCACCAGCTTCATAGTCTTTTAATGTCACAATAATGTCACGGCCCACAATATCTAACAAGCATTCGTTAGCCTAGTCTTCTAAAATACCTTTCTCTGAAGCAATTTTTTTTGCTACAGTAATCATATGCTTTGTAGCATTTGGAAAGTGAGTCGTTATTTTTTTGAAAGACCAATTATGCACAATACTCAATATTTTTATTTTCATAGTTCTATCTCGTGTGCCATTAAATTTTTCTTGTAGATTCTTCAAAATTGATGTTGGTTCGTCTTCTTCATCGCTATCGTTGGAGTCATCGGTAGGAATATTGAAAGTTGTACGCTTAATCGCTTCAGACATATTTTTCTTTTTTCGATTTGAACATTGCTGTTGTTTACGTGTTTTTGATATAATAGGGGAATTGCTTATTAGGCAGAGTGGTCTATTTAACGGACTGAGAACATCTTTTACGACTTTAGTTTCGTACACAGCTGAACTGCTACTGCTTCCAACGGAATCATTCAACCAACTATCGTTGGAATCATCGGTAGGAATATTGAAAGTTGTATGCGTAATCGCTTCAGGTATATTTTTTTTTTTTCGATTTGAATATTGCTGTCGTTTACGTGTTTTTGATATAATAGGAGAATTTAACGGACTGAGAACATTTTTTACGACTTTAGTTTCGTACACAGCTGAACTGCTACTGCTTGATGGTTGAATAATTCCCTCGCTCGACGAAGGGCTATTGTTTGTGGATGTACCCCCTTCATTGTTCTTATTCTGTAAGTAAAAACAAGACAAATATTAATACAACATATTTAAATATAATTACATTTATGTAAGATATGACACATGTATAAAGAAAACACTTAACAGAACCACTAACATACGCACCACATTATTCTTAGACCATTTCGTCAGTCTCCATCTGCAACTGTTACATATTTTTTTCTCCCGATTATTTTTTGTCAATGGTATTCGCAACGAGAGCAAGGTTTTATCTGAAACTCGTCTTAATTTACTGCAATCCCTTTTATGCGGTTTAAACTTCAGGGGATTAAAACATTTTAAGTTCTTGAATCGTTGAAGGATATTATTTTTTGCAACTTTTGCCATTATTTAAATGTTATACTTTTTTTAAAAGAATTACTGAAGTGTGTTTGTTCACTCTGAAAATAGAAACAAACAACTTGTTAAACTTATGCCAATATCTTTTTAAGATAGAAGTACCTACCTAAATACTCCAATCGAATTCTTTAAAGTATAATTCTTGCAGTGTTACTTTTCTTCTATTTTTCAACTGCAGCAGAAAAACATATCACAAAAAAAGGTCGACGTAATTATGTGCTGCAATTATATAGATAGTACAGATAGTGTAAATCTAATTAATTTTTTAATTCGTCAATATAAGAAAAAGTTTCTCAAGGTGCGTCGTAATGAAACTTTTTGAAATTAGTACTTTTTTTTTTAAAAAAAAAATTAGACTGTTCAATTATGTTAAAGTTTGTGATTTACCTAAAAATAGAGATGAATAAAAATAACTAATTTATTTAATAAAAATACTTCTGAAAATAAAATTTTTATGAAGAATTCAATAATAAATTCAATTTAGAAAAAAAAATTAAAATGTTCGTCTCATTTTTTCTGCGAAATTAATTTAACGATACTGGAGAAAAAAAATGTTGAAAAATTTCAAAAAATAATGCCATCCTGAAAAATTTGATTTCTTAGTAAGATATAATACTGAATCCAAATAAAATACAAAAAATAAAAATTTTCATGAAACATTTGAAAAAGAAATAGTTTTTTAAATTTAACGGTTAATATTAATATTTAATAAACATTCTTAATTGTTTAAACTATTTGTAAAACCTTCAAATAATTATCTTTAAAACGCAACAAATTTCATGTTTCTATCATTTATAGCGCCTGAAATATCGCCGTTTAAAAATGTTTCTACAATGTTAAATCTCAAAACCCAACAAAAAAATTTCAGCCAAATCGGTGATGATGAAATCAAAAAGAGATGTGTGATTTGTAAAATCTATAATATAGCTCGGATTATGCACCATTTGATTACCATTTGTTTCGGTCTCTGTAAAACTCTTTTAATTGTAAAAAAAATTGTCCATCCGACAAGCACTTGAAAATCATTTGCCCAAGCTTTTATCGACAAACCATACAAGTTCTACACCGAAGGAATTATAAAGCTACCCGAAAAATGACAATAGCTTATAAATAATAATGGCCAATATAAACTTCATTGAAATTATTGAAGAAAATGACGAAAACATTTTTTTAAAAAGGTACCAAAAACGACGGATACTTTTTATATCACATGTTAATTGCTGATTATGTGACACATAATCTCTTCTCTCTCTGTCTCTGTCTCTGTAATCTGTAACTGCTGATCAGTGATCAGCCACTGCAACTAACCAGTGACACACTTTTGCCACAAAGACAAGAAAAACCAATATCTTTCAAGCAATCTGCTCTTCTGCAGATATTATATTAGATGATTCATTAATACATTGTTAGGTAAAGGTAAGTCTCTTCCTCCTGTTTTACTATATATTATAATATCTCTGCATTTAAAATCAGTTTCATGTAAATATTTACTAAAACGGAAACCAAAGCTTGGGTTCTTAAATAAACGAATCGATCATATAATGTTAAGAACAATTCACAAATTCGAAAAAGAGGCATATTCTAGGGGAAGAATAATGATTATTACAAGCCTTGTAAGATTATGCTATAAATTTAGGAATAATTAGTAACAAATTAATTAAAAATTAATAAGCTATGTAGAATAATTTCAGATTTAGGAAATGCAAGCATTGAAGGAATGTTATCGCTAATGAAATCAGTGGAAACATTTAACTTTGATACCCACACACGCCTATCTGAGCCACCGCTGATCTATTGGTAATGTAAACAAATACTTCTCCGCGCTGTGACGAAAATTAACACGAAATTCTACACAAAATATTATTTAAAAAATAAACAAATTAAATACTTTGCAACCGTTTTTCGTTAGACATATTAAATAATTCTACAGCTGCAACTCCTTGTTAAATATACAATTTACATAGATAAGTGCAGCAATATAGCAACTATAGAACATATAGGAAAGAGTCTATCTTTGCAGGTAGAGTATGCACTCTATTGCAGGTAATAATAATTAATATACAACGCATGTAAACACACACACCTACATACACGGCTTACTTGACAATTAAACACTGCACAAAATAAAAACAAGTCCGCATATCAATCCAAATACACGCATATGGATATGCACGTAAACTACTTCTTCAATTGACAGGAAATTTGTTAAATATGACAGAACTTAGTTTTATATTATATTTTATTGTAAAATTAATTTTTATAATTAATTTTAATTATTGTTTAATATACACGAAACAGTAAAAGGCGCGACGTCAGTCCACAAATTACCACCGCCGCGCATATAAATTCCACAATTTATAGAAAAATACAAGGCGAGAATATTTACTTGATTTTATTCACACAACATTTATCTTTCCATTCCACATATTATATTTTTAATAAACTATTTAACTATTTACTTCCATCACATGCAATTTTTACTCACTTGATTAAAATGCTTTCGTTTAAAGTGAAAAAATTGAACTCTGTTTATAAATTTATTGTAAACTCATTTTTCGATTCTTTTTCAGACGACTAAAGCAAAGCAAACGACACGATTGAAAACGAAGACCAACAACATTTCTCTAGTGCAGCCTGACTGCGGCATTTTTGGTATAAATTTACTTGCAGATACTTTTTAGACCAAAACCAATGAGAGGAATTTTTTATACTAAATTATTGCAAATATATATAGAACTTCAATTTATTAATATAATTAATTACAAGTTTATATGCAAATATTTTGAATTATATATAAACTAAATTAAAAACTAAAAAAAAAATTATAATAATAACAAAGTATGAATAATAATTCAATTAAATTAAGTTAATTATAAAATGTGGTGAAAAAATTCTTATTTTCGTATTTGTTTTTCAATAAGTTTACTTATAATTTTAGAGAAATTGTTTAAAATATATTCTAAATTACTTTATATTTAAGTAATATATATTTTTTTTTTATTTTGTTAAATCAATTTCTTATTTTACAAACAATTTATAATAATTAAGTAAAAAGGAATAAATTAAAATAAAATAATTAACAAAATAATAATTAATAATATAATAAATAATTTATGATAATAATTTAAGAAAATGTTATTAAAGCAATAATTATAATTCAAATAAAACTAATTCAAATATATTTTAAATGGATTTATATTTAAGTAATACATTTTTTATTTCCATTTTATTAAATAAATTTATTAGTATTAAATAAATTTATAATAATATAATTATTATAAATTATAAAATTATAAATAATAATTTAAAAAATAGTCATTCAAATATATTTCAAATTATTTTTAATTTATGTAATATACTTTTCCTTTTGTTTTAATAAAGAATAATAAAGAATAAAATAAAAGAAATAAAATAATAAAAATATTAATATTAGAAAATATAAGAAAATAATAACTAAGAAAATAAAATTAAGCATACAATGAAAAAAAATAGTATTTAAGGAATTAATAAATACAGAGTAATTAAGAAAATAATAATTACGAAAAAAATGATTAAGGAAATAAAATCAAGAAAATAATAACTAAGAAAATAATTGTAAGGTAAAGCACAATTTATACGTAATTATCAAATCTTAGTAGCAGATTTTTGTATGAATTTTGTATGAAAAATGACACCAGCTTGTAGAGTTCATTGCAATAACTAAAATATATTGTTAAACTGAATTCTATATACATATATGTCTTTACAGTTTTTAATTATTTTAAGACGTTTTTTAATATCCTCAATAAATTTTTTTTTTGCTTTTATTTTGTTTCTTGAATATTCTTTTACAGAGTTAAATTAAAAATATTTTATTATTTAGTTAAAGAGAAGCATCAATAGATTAAAAGCTTCTTTACTTCTAATCCAAATTTTCCGAATTTAGGACAAATGTCTGTTTTAAAGTTTGAAGTGCTCTAAAGTAGTGAAATTAGTATCGTAAAGTATTTTTTAAAAATCATCATCTAATGTAGATTTAAAAACCATAACTATTCCGGTTCCAGTTATTTTTCTAATAACAATATAATCATTTTCTAATTTTTAGTCCATACTTTAGGTTATGTTAGATTATACAGTATAATTTCAATTTATTATTAAATTAAATTAAATTAAATTATTAATTAAACTTCATTTTTTATTGTGTTTCTCGGCATTTACTCCTTTATAATCTAGCGTATTGTCAGCGTACTTTCGAGAACATATAAATTATATTTTGAATATATTTAACGAGATAATTACACACATCTGATTGTTTTGTGTAATGATTGAAATAAAACATTTTCAGTAATAACTCATTTATTGCAATAAATAATTCATAGCAATAAATCACTTATTGTAATAAATAAATTATTTATTGTAATAAATTATTTATTTATTATTTATTGTAATAAATTATTTATTTACTATTTATTACAATAAATAATTTATTATAATAAATAGAAATGACTTGAATAGCCAGCTTAAAATTACTGATAGTTGGAATGATAATTATATTTTCAGCAACATACGTATATTAAGTATGTGAACTGACGAAGTTTGGAGAAAGTTCCGTTGGAAGTAATAAATGAAGATAATCGTCGAATAGTAAAATATGATATATACGATCATTGAACAACTAATCCCTTTCATATTTTCTGAATTCAATACATCCCAAGAACAATAAAATTGCAGACTAGAACTATTTGTGAAAAAGACTTTTTTTTGTTTACAACATTAAAGTTTATTTTATTTAGATTTTGAATCTTTCCAATATATATCATTTTAATTAGTAATAAATTAGTAAATCTGTATCAAAACTTAGTTCCAAACAAATTGGAGAATTATTGTTAAACAAATCCTCTCCTCACTAATTCTAACTTATATAATAAGTTAGAAGCTTATATAATATAAAATATAAATCTAAACTTATGTACATAAACACACTTTCAAAACCAGTCTATATCCATTTTAATTAAAAAAAAGTATAATCAATACTCAACAATTTCGTTTTTAACAAAAAAAAATTAATTATATATATTAAATATTTAAAATATAAGAATAAAAATAAATGTTTAAAACATAAAAATATAGTTCGATAAGAAAACTTTTCACATTTTTTGCCCGTCTGATCATTTGGCGTATCTTTCATTTATATCCACATAAATATACTTATATACATATGTATATATACTTATTTAACTTAATATAAAATTTATATAGTATAATATAATGTAATACAAAATAATATAACAAAATATATATAAATTAATATATAAAATATAAAACATAATATGCAATGTACAATTTAATACAACATAAATGATATAATATATAATATAATATTTAAATATACAATATAATACAACATATATGATATAACATATAACTTAATATGATAGTGATGTATATATAATGAAAAAATGTATAATATGTAGAATAAAAAATTTATAATACTATATTTTAAATTACTTATATATCTTAGATAATAAATGTTTAAATATCATAATATATACCTAGCTATGGAAAGTGCGATTCCACCGCCAAATTGTACCATCATCGCAGACACAAATCAATACTGTTCCGTCTCTGGAGAATGACGTCTGTCGTATAGCCGACGAACACTTGGAATGTACTAGTGTACTTCGTTTTGTCAAATCTGGATCATTTTCATCCAATTCCCATACATAAGTAATACCAACCTGATTACCTAAGGCCAGTGTTTTTTGTTTGAAATTAAAAGCAAAACGTACAAACCATATATCACATTCTTTATACTCAAAACGATATATAATTGTTGTTGAGGAATCATGTGCTTTAATATCAGTTTGGTTCATTTCACCTGGCTTCCAACATACAATACAATTTTCACAAGATTTTGATAATATGAAATTTCCAAACCACTGCACACAATCTACATAATTCCGATGTATATCTCTTGTAGAGAAATCAGGAAAATGTTCTTTTAATGTTGGAAAAGGAAAAGCACTTTTACTTATATTAAACGTGATACTTTTTTCAATAGCTTCATTGATCGCAATTTTATCCAAACGCCATAATTTCAATGAATGATCCATACCACTTGACATTATGCTCTTACCAAGGCAATCAAAATCAATTGATAACACCTCATCACGATGTCCTTCAACACCGCCAAATATGGCTACACAAACATCAGTTTTTATATTCCACAAACGCAAAGAATGATCTTTACTTCCAGATAGTAGTATTTGTGGTTTTTTAGGATGAAATTTAAGTTCATTGATAGCATGGCCATGTCCGATGAAATGTTTTCTACATGAAATTTTACCTAAATCCAAAATGCGAATAACTCCACGATAACCGGCAACTGCGAGTAAAGGACACATTGTCTCATCATCAAAGGACCAAGCACAAGTATAAAAATTCTCATCAGGCTAAAAGTAATAATTAATACTTATATAAAAAGCAATATTAAAACAAATTATTAAAAATATATTACATCTGGATCGGCGTAAACTTGCAAGACATTTATACCGCCATCTCCATTCAGAGGACAATCGTAAATTGTGGCTCGGTCTTTACCAACTACCGCGAAAATTGCTTGCTCCCTTGGTAAGTGTGGGTTGAATTGTACACTGAATAGTGGTTGTCCATAATCATCACGTACATGACAACTACACGTTATATATATTCAATATTTAAATATTGTATTTATATTAACAAAAAACGTCTTTATTTCCAAATACTTACTTGTATTTATATAGTGGCTTCACATTTTTCGATTTCTTATGCTTTTTTCGCTCTTTGCCAGCTCTAGACGGTGTCCTGGATGCACTTGGCGACTTGCTCTGTGATGTTGTCGTAGTCGCGGTACTTACACTTGCGGTTTCGTCTTTCGAATCGTCACTTTCAAATGTGGTGGCGGCTGATTTTTGCGCCCCCTCATTTTTGTCTACTACTTCGTCAGCTTTTTGTTCTTCATTCTTGGGTTCATCCATTTTTTTTGCAGAATTATAATAGTTTATTGTTGTTTTTTGCCGCAAAGTAATTTTCCACAATATTCAATGTATTGTGTACTTCTTTGGCTCCATATAAATAGAGTTGCCATAACGGCAATATTTTGAAAAATTGTGAGTACTACTATTAATTTATATATATTTTATATACTTTTTTTAAAATAACTGTATTTGCAAATGATTGCAGGAGATTTATTTTGGAGTCCAATATTTCGTTGCTTTTTTCTTTTATATAATAATGTAATTTAATTTTTCATTATTATATATATATATGAAGGTACGATAATTGAGGATATACTATTATATCTATATAAATTGTTATTGGGTATTTAAAATCATAATACAATTTTAAATATTTTTTTTAGTGTGTTTATTTGCGTGACGTTACATCCCATCTTCATTTAAGGAAAATTTTTAGTATTTGGTTTTTTGCAAGTCAGTGAACGCACTTTTGTTTATATCCTTTAAGCAACATATGTGCGCATGTATGTATGCATGCATATTTCACAAAAGCCAATTCTTTAAAATAAACTGAAAATTTTTTAAGTGATTAGAATGGCGGAAATAATTTGAATATAATTAAAATTCGATATTTTTAACACAAGTAACACACATAACCTATTTCACTGTAATTAATTTGCACTGAACAGTGTAAATTTAAAAACATATGATCAAATAGTAAATTATTTGGCTGTGACCACCTTAAAACAAATAAGTTAATTACTAAATAACTGTTTAGTTTTTTTTAAATTATATTGAGAAAAGCTTCTATTTATTGCTAAGTAGAAGCTGGCACATCTGCCTAGACTTTATTCCACGTTTAGCGCTCTGAATGTGCAAGTTTTATTTTTCATATAATAGGATTTTTGGTAAAATTTTATAAATTTTTAGAAAAATATTGTGAAAAAAATGTATACTCAATTTTCATGATATTAACCTTTTTGAAAATGAAATTTTTTTATCTTTAGAGAAAATTGCTCCTTCTCTTGCACACGAGGTTATAAAGATTATGGTAAGGTAAACTACAAAATGTATTTTTATTAATAATTTTTTATAATAAAATTTAAAATATTTAATTGAGGTTCATGTTTCGTAATGTAATGTAACTTTTTTATATTTTTAGTTTAGTTTTTTATATTTTTAGTATTTTTAGTTTAGCAAAATTCTAACGTCATGTTTTTTCTGATTTTTACTTTAATTCAAGCCGGTTTTATTGCTTTTTAGGCGATAATGCGTGCAGGTTGGTCTCTCACTTACTTATTTTTTATAATTTTTTAAGTGAAAAAGTCGATTTTTTTAAAAGATTTGTTTATTTTTTATTTTTTTAATAAAAAGTTTTAGGCAACATACAATTGTGATACATACACCAAATAAAAGATTTTAGGAATCTCCACCTAAATAATATTTTTTATTTAGTAAAAAAAAACAAATTTAGTTCATCTTAACAAATTCATAAAATTCGAAAAATTTCGTGTTCAAATTCTTGTTTGGAGCTCCCAGCACGTCGCTGGCGTATGTATCACGGCATTAGTATCTTTGTGTAGATCAATTCAGTAGTTCTGACATTTAGTTCGTAGTGCTGCCAATCATATTATTTATACCAACTTTTATAAAAATTGACATTTCCTCTTCTCCTTTTCGCATCTCATTTTCAATGTATTGGCGCTGTCAAACTCGTATTTAAAAAAGTCTAGTAAATTTCTTGTACATTATCAACTTTCGTTATGAACATTTGTTATATTTTGTAAAACAAAATTAAAGAATTTATAATGAACGTAAATGAGAGCAGTACGCTTGTTTTACATACTGAAAGCTTCAAAAAATTTGTTAGAGCAAAAGAGGAAGAACTTTTGCAGATACGTCGTTTGCGTCTAATAATTAACATATTGAGTTCCATAGACGTCAATGATATAAAAGTGGTCTTCTCAGCGAAAAGTGATGAACCGGCGAATAAATTGAATATTGCAAGAGCTTTTAAAATATTACCATTAATGGAGTTTTTACATTTACCTAATAGAGAAACCGCAACGATCTTAGGTAGTAGTTTGGTATTCATTTGACTCAAATGCGTATTAATGGTACAATGTTACTCTTTGCAGATTTGTCTGAACTAAACAATATCAACCTTTCCTATACAGAACGCAAAGTAATTCTCACACATTTTCCACAAGCTGCTACAAAATATATGCAGCCAATTCTAGAATTGGGCGCTGAAATACGTACAGGTTTTCCAGAAATGTTCGAAAGAACCACATTGGAACCTGCAATTGAAACAACAATAGAAAATAGAAGTGCGCTTGTAAATTCAGCGAACAGCGAAGTATTAGTAACTAATTTCACTACTTTAGAGACTTCATTTTATTTATTAATGGAACTGATTTCCAAACGTACAGAGTTAATGAAAAGATTAGTTACGTTGCAGAACGAAAAGTGTGCTTATCTCAACAGTGTGGCGGCACTCAAAACTGGTCCATATTTTTGCAACGAAGTGGAATTGCTTCACGCTGAGGCACGGTACAATGAGCAAAAAACAAATTTCTTACGTTCCTTAATGGTACACGAATTTACAAAGTGCAGTGCGGATAGCATGGAGGCGATTAAGGAAATAGAAAAGTACACTAAAGAATCCGTAGCAAAAGTGAAAAACGAAGTAATCTAAAGGATACCAGTTTATGTAAAATTTATTATATTAGCAATTTTACTTTGAATAATTTTTTGTGTTACATTTACAGTTCAACTAATGAAAAAGACTAAATATAAATATTTCAATTGAAATTAAAAATTAAAAATACGTTTATAGAAAAGATATTTAAATGCATTTATAATTTATTTATAAAAATTTAGCTAAAGATGACAACGGAAGAATTGAAACAATATCCGCTAACATTAACTATTGTATTCATTTATTATTATCTACAGTTGTATTAATTTATTATTATTAATATTGCATTAATTTGTTATTATTAATATTGTATTAATTGATTATAATTAATATTGTATTAATATTATTATATACTGTATTAATTAGGTCTCAGTAGTTGTCAGGCCCATGTCCTACAACCAATTGTCTTTTCGCATGAACAAATTTCGATCATGACTTTTAACAAATACTAAAAAGAAAACTATAAACATTTCTATATTGGTTGAACCAACAATAACAGCATCGTATGGTTTTGATACCAGAAGCGGTTCAGTTTGCGTACCGGAACCACTAATTATTCCACAAGTTCAAGCACCACTATATACTATTTCAACATAAACTTAAAAGTCAGAAAGCCTCTATCAATGACGTCAACAATACCGAAACGGTATTATTTTAGTTTCAGAGGTGACTAAATCACTCGTCATACGCGACCTAATGTCATTCAACTACATAGTCCCATATTTATTAATGTCTGCCCTAACTGTACCTCTACTCACCATGACAATTTGTTCTTATGTCTTATTTCATCCTATAATTTGAGCCCTATCGATCTTTGGCTCCGACCCGTTAAAGTTGTCAGGTTTCTCCATCTCAACGCAAACTAGTTTCAATTAAGACTCGCTCTTATATTACATCCCTTACACCAAACAATACTCACTCTACGTTCATTTCACCCAATCCTAACCCATGTAGGGTGATTCCTTTCATGTTTCCTACGATATAGATCTCCAAGATCTACGACAACAGCGGAGGCAGGCTAGCCATTCCATCTACAACAATAACATGATTGTTTTGTTTTAAACAGAAGTGCAGTAAATCCACTATTAAATATGTTTTCATTATATTTTTATCATAAATTAAGTAGTTCCCCTTTCCACTGTGTCTGTGAACATTTGTTTGATTTATTAGCCACTCCACATCGGCAATGTAGGGTGGGTATGGTAAATATAGTTGATCGCTTGTGGACTCACGTATTAATTATTATCGTTGGCTAGATAGTTCAAGTCTTTTTAGGTGTGTAATATACCAACACTGGCTTTATATCACAATATATATCTGAATGGTGGTTGTGCCAGTTTCAATACGTCTGATATTTTTAAAAGTTTCTTATTTTGGGTTAGAAAATAAAAATTTTAATGTTTAAGTCAGCATGTCTTAACTGGCCGTTGTAAATATTGGCACTTGAGTTCCTGGGAAGTCCTTGAGTGCTGGGAAGTAATTAAAGACATTTATATTCTATTGTTTTTGAAAAACGATCTGTGGTCCTTTATCTGTACTTTTTGTTTGCACTGTACTGTCTGTTTTCTTTAGAGCCATATATGGATTCTTGAACATTAAATACTAAATACTATAATGCAAACGCAGCTCGTATCGCCGGTAATGTGACTACAACATATTTAAGTCCAAGCGGAACATATACTCAAAGTTTTACTTGATGTTATTGTTGTAGTCGATGTCGTTTGTAGTCGATGTCGGGTTTGGACAACAGCATTTGGTGAATGATGTTGACGAGCATAATTAAAACATACATACATATGTAGGCGCGATAGCTTCTACAACCGTTGGTTGTGAGTCTGGCAGTTTTATTGGCTGGTTCGCGTCCTTTTTTTATTTCAATAAAAATCACGTAATAAATAAACAAGGAAATTTCATTTATCGGGAATGAATTAAGAGTTAAAAAAGAGTTAATGTGGTTGTTGTTATTATAATTTATTTAAAATTGGACGACTTGTAAATTTGGTTATTAGACGCACGCAGACTCATACAGCAGATGGGATTCTTAGCATTGAATACTCTACAAATATAATATTTTGGGTTTAGCATTTGTTATATTAATTTTACTTAAAATAAATTTGAATTGAAGGCAATGTGTAAGGTCTTAATAACTTGGAAATGTTAGAAACTTGAGATAAAAAAAGTTGAAGAAACGGAAAGAACTAAGAATTCAAGCAAGATACTTAATAATAACAAGTTGGAAGTGGAAAATCACGTATAAAAAATAGAAGCTATATACATATGTTAGGATATTGCAATACGTGAACTTCAGCTATGAAGACAGCTGTGACCGTACCGACTAACAGCGCCCGTTGGTGATATTCATATACTAATCTAATAAGTGATATAATAGGTCTTAGATCATCTGAAAGAGCGTAACATCCCTGTTGAAATTTGAAAATGCGCTATACAGACTTTACTCGTACATTTTATTTCAAGTAAAATTTGTGTGATATGTGAATCAGCTGTTGTGGTTTGAATTTAAATTTTTGTTTTGTTTATTTGCGCGGCACTGGTGTTCTCACCACACTTAACACAAAGCTGTTCTATGAAAATCTGTGTAAAGAGCGTAATTTAGCACTTTATTTGTGTTACGCTCTCAGTTTGTACTTTACTTGTGTTTTACTTGAGTTTTACTACGAGTAGTTCGTGGAACAGACCTGATATGATTTAATTTCTTGATCTTCTCACCTTACATTCTATTCAGACAATGCAATAAGTTTATAGTCATCATAATTAAATAAATTAATATATACCAAAATGAATTAAATTGTATATTCCGTAGAAATCTCCATTGATGTTTTACAAATATATATATGGTATAAAACTATTTAATATATATATATCATACTTTTCCCAGCTATTTAAAAACTGGAAAATGTGTAGCAATAAGAAGCAACATAAAATGTAAACAGTTAATTTATAATTAACTTATTTGCTTTAAGGTGGTCACATCCGTTATTTACTATTTGGTCATATGTTTTCATATTTACAGTTTTGATGCAAATTAATTGCAGTCAAATGGGTTATGCGTGTTACTTGTGTTAAAAATATCGAATTTTAATTATTTTCAAATGATTTCCGCCATTCGTATAATTTAAAAAATTTTCATTCTATTTTGAAAAAATCCCTTTCTTTGAAATATTCTTACATACATATATGTATACATACATATGTTGTCTTAACGGAATGTAAACAAAAGTGCGTTCAGTGACTTCCAAAAAAACAAATTTTGAAGTTTTGCTTCAAATTTAAGATGCCGCTTCGCGCCAGAAAACATATTTTAAGAAAGTTGTATTAACATTTTAAATAGAATTTTAAAGCGTTTTTTCAATTATCATACTTTCATATTTATATAATAATAATAAATTGAATTAGTTTATAAAAAATAAAAGGAAAAGTATAGAAATATCGGATTCTAAAACCAATCTGCAAGCGTTTGTAAGTACAGTTATTTTAAAATACACATATGTAATACATATAGATTGCTATTAATGTTAAATATTTAGTATTTAAACGTATATACTGCCGATAAAGTATACAAATTGAAAATTGTGGAAAAATTTGTCGCAAAAAACTATTATTTTGCAAAATAATATTAATTATGGATGCACTCAAAAAAAAAGAACAAACACCTGACGAATTAGTGGACAAGGTGGTGCAAACATTAGCCGCAACTACATTTGAAAGTGACGATTCGGAAGGTGCAACCGCACGTATAAATACTTCGACTAAGACAACATCACAGAGCAAGACACCAAATGCATCCAAGACACCGATTAGACGTGGAAAAGGACGAAAAAAGCATAAGAAATCTAAAAATGTGAAGCCACTATTTAAATACAAGTAAGTATTTGGAAATGAAAACGATGTTTGTTAATATAAATACAATATTTAAATATCGAATATATATTACGTGTAGTTGTCATATACGTGACGATTATGGACAACCACTATTAAGTGTACAATTCAACCCACACTTGCCTAAGGAGCAAGCTATTTTCGCGGTATGTGGTAAAGATCGAGCCACAATTTACGATTGTCCTCTGAATGGAGATGGCGGTATAAATGTCTTGCAAGTTTACGCCGATCCAGATGTAATATATTTTTATTAATATATTTTAATATTGCTCCCTATATGATTATTGATAATTACTTTTAGCCTAATGAAAATTTTCATACTTGCGCTTGGTCCTATGATGACGAGACAATGCGTCCTCTACTCGCAGTTGCTGGTTGTCGTGGAATTATTCGCATTTTGGATTTAGATAAAATTTCATGTAGAAAACATTTCATCGGACATGGCCATGCTATCAATGAACTTAAATTTCATCCTAAAAAACCACAAATACTACTATCTGGAAGTAAAGATCATTCTTTGCGTTTGTGGAATATAAAAACTGATGTTTGTGTAGCCATATTTGGCGGTGTTGAAGGACATCGTGATGAGGTGTTATCAGTTGATTTTGATTCTCTTGGTAAGAGTATAATGTCAAGTGGTATGGATCATTCATTGAAATTATGGCGTTTGGATAAAATTGCAATCAATGAAGCTATTGAAAAAAGTTTCACGTCTAATGTAAGTAAAAGTGCTGTTTCTTTTCCAACATTAAAAGAACATTTTCCTGATTTCACTACAAGAGATATACATGGGAATTATATAGATTGTGTGCAGTGGTTTGGAAATTTCATATTATCGAAATCTTGTGAAAATTGTATTGTATGTTGGAAGCCAGGTGAAATGAACCAAACTGATATTAAAGCACATGATTCCTCAACAACAATTATACATCGCTTTGAGTATAAAACATGTGATATATGGTTTGTACGTTTTGCATTTAATTTCAAACAAAAAATACTGGCCTTAGGCAGTCAGGTTGGTGTTACTTATGTATGGGAATTGGATGAAAATGATCGAAATTTGACAAAACGAACTACACTAGTACATTCCAAATGTTCGTCGACTATACGACAGGTGTCATTCAACAAAGACGGAACAGTACTGGTTTGTGTCTGCGATGATGGTACAATTTGGCGGTGGGATCGCATTTTCCATAACTAGGTATAGATTATG